GCAACCTGGCCCCCAGCTCAAAAAGGTTGCCTACCCCTGATCTAGAGAATACTCAACATTAGGGTTTACAGAACAATTCCATGTAAGTTTACTTAAAAGTAAACCCCACCTTGGTTTTATTCCCAGAAAAACACACTTGATTCCTTTAGGTTAAAAATAGCTAGCATGATTTGTACAGTCCAGGAACACTCCCACCATTATTTGTGTATGTGTTGCTTCTTCTACCCAGTGCACCTTATGTAAGAACCATGCCAGCTTGCAGATCCTCCTGGGACAAATCCCAAGATACCTTGCATGAACATTTGCAGATGAGAATGATTACATTTCAATTAAGAGAACAGCACTTCAGCTGAAAGTGGGTGGAGTTCAGCTTATCTAAGGGCTTGAGTCTCTTTCAAAATTTGAGAGTCAAGGCAACTTGCATTTGAAGAGGGCACAAGGGACCCATCTGAGGCAGACAGCAGAACAAAGACCAACCTTGAATGGAGGCTTTGTGTGCAACTTCAATGTCAGATGGCCTGAGCCATCTTAAACCCAAATACAGACAAAGTTTGTTGTTGTTATATGCCTTCAAGTCAACTCCAACTTAAGGCAACTCTGTCATAGGGGTTTCTTGGCAAGGATTATTCAGAGGAGGTTTGTCATAGCCTCCTTCTGAAAATAGCTTACAGCACATAAACTGGTTTAGCTATTGTCACTCAAGTTCATTCCTCCATAGAGAGTGCCTTAGCTTTCCATATATATTTGACTACACACAGCTTTGTCTCTCTGCTTTCTAGTGATGGCGATTTGTTTCTTTAAGCCTGTTCATATATCCCAGCCTTCATTTTTTTTAAAAGAAAAATCCCATAATGGTTGACATTTTTTAAAAAAAAATTAATAATATTAAATCAATAAAATGCAACACAACTAATACACACAGGCCAGAATCCTGCTAAGGTCTTAAGTCTTTATAAGTGGACTTCTGTCTGAAGGAATTAGAACTGGACAGTTCTGTAATGTCTATATCCAGTAGAGGGCAGCTATTGCATTATTATGTAGAGGGATGACAAAGTGACTGATGCACAACGTGACTGATGTACAACAGGATGTGCATCACATCAGTGCATATCATTGGTCCTGATGCACACTGTATAAATCTTGGTGTGTATCAGACACCAATGCACACTGGGCACTCTTGCCAGTGTCCTGTTATGTGTCTTTACAATTCAGTAAAGGGGTTTCCTAGCATCTCAGCTCCATAGCTAGGTGTATGTAAAGTTATATAACATAACAGGTCATATAGGATTCTAGCTACAATAATTAGATAGCAGTACCAGCTCAGTTCATTTTAATGTTAGGATTTCAAAACTTATTTTGTGGGGACTCTGATGATATGTGTGTGCCCATGCACTTATGCATTAGAATTATTAACACAATGAAATTATTAACTTTTTAAAGTAAAATGTTCTATTTCACATTTTCTACACATTATTTGCTTTAAGTCTTTAATGTTCCTGGCATATCAGTTTTGCATATAATTTAAGTGGTTAACAATATCCTTCTGGGATCCAGTACAAACTTGCCTGAAGTGCAGTTTCATGTTTATAAAATTAGTCCGATGTACACTAGTGGGCAAACAGAAAGAAAGAAATACACAGAGATGATGTTATAGTTCTGCAATTAATCATAAGGGCACCACTCTGAGCTTCTGCCTTCTATTTAGTGATGGATGTAGGCTTCTCTTAGAATGAAGGGAGGGGGAAGCTCTTGTGAGTCGACCCCTCAGGCCCATGGGATTTCCTGCCCGTGAGAGAACATTGTTTGGGCTATTGAACCCCTTAAATCAAATCATGTTAACTTTCTAAAGCTCTTTCTGATGCTAAACAGGCTTGTCTGTCAGGCCTTCTGGGCCATCAGTGACTCACCAAGAACTGAATCATGGATGGATACTGGATAGGGACAGCCACCATTAACTCCAGGGAAGAGCTTTGGGATAGGGCTGAGAGTTTCTGTCAATTTCAGCTGTTGAGTGTGCTCAGAGTACTGGCCAAAAGAGAATGGCTCTTAAAATGGCACCTGAAAGCATTGATCAACTCTTTCTTGAAAACGATTCTGTTCCAGAGCCTCACCTTATGATATGTAACCTTTTGTGGTGCTGATGAACAGTTCTTATCTTTAGAAAAACCTTCACTGTCTCCATACATGGACGTTTCAGCTAAAAATTTTCACATTTTTTTCCAATTTAGACATCTTCTTTTACTGAATATTTAGACCATGTTAGTTGAAGAGTCGTTCAACATGTCTTGACCGCAGCTTGGAAAATGACAACTTGAATGCCAATGCCAACTCTTTCTTTTGTGTTTTCAGCTTTCAGAAACCCCAGACATCTTCATTCATGCCAGTTGGGGAATTTTGAGAGTTGTAGTCCAAAACATGTTTTCCTTCAGCTTGACCTCATGTTAAACTGTGTGTCATGCATAATGTTTTGCACACCACTTCAAGATCCATCCTGTATACATCAAGAAGATGGAACAACAATGACATTTATCTGTACAGTATGTTGAAGGGTTGGTTCAGAGGGTTTCATACACATTATCTAGTTGTAATGTTTACAGCAATCCTATACTACATGTCAGTATTTTTGTCTTGCAGATGGGGGAGCTAAGGCTGAGAGTGGCTTGCCAAAAGCCACCTAGGACTTTACTACACAAGGCTAAAGAGTGGAATTTTAACAGGACAAAAGTGTCTTTGGTAGGTACTTATCACCCAATGTCATATCTGTCCTGTTGCTGCTTTGCATTCCATTCATTACTGTATTGCACCTTTTCATTGAAGGGCAAAATCTATTAATAGGCTCTCAGTCTTGCTTCTATTCCATTACTGCATTTGTGTGATAAGTCCCTCTGCTGCAGTTCCACTTCTTAGGCAATC